AACCGCAAATACTTCATTTCAAATAACAATTCTAGTCCCCTCCAAAAAAGATTTTTTTGAATCCGTTCCTAATTTATATCGATCGATTGATTACCTTTGGAAGCGCTTCGAAATACGAATCCGGAGCATCCATCTCGGCTAAAACCGAGTCGTTTATGGCGGCCGCCGCCTTCAGGATTTGGTTCGTCGACTCACGCTTTCGTCGAACCATCTTTCTTGCGGCTTCGCTTAGGCCGCCGGTCGGAACTCTCGGGACCGGAAGCCACCATTTGTCCGGTTTCCGGTTGAGAAGCTTCCGGAAGGAGGCTGATCCTTCTCCTTTGTCGACGTACCAAAACTCGGGACTTTCGAAGCTATCCAATATTTCCTTGCATAGTAATGAAATTTTAGAACCGAAACAACTATGAATTAAGTGTACGAAATAATCGATGAAGATTTCGAAAAAAGAAAAAAGAGTCGATCTCACGAGCAGCATGTTGTCTAGTTTGCGTAACGCGGGGAGGTTCACGTATAAATCCGATCGTATTCGAGTCGTCATGACCTGAATTAATCGAAAAGCGGCTCTAAGGATAATACGATTAATTAAAACAAAAATAAATAAATAAAAAATGTAAATGACAACACGACGAAGATGGAGAAAAAATGAGGTCGATAGTACTCAAGTCGAATGGACTAATTTATTATCAACACATGAAAAATAAAAATAAAAATAAAAAACCTTAAAGTATCGATTTTACCTCTGATTTTCTCCCATCAGGAAAAGTCTGCCAAGAAGGTACTAACTCAACAATGTGGTCACTAACACATACAAGCCACTCGATTTCTTTTCGCCATGTTGATTTCTTGTCGATCGGTAAAGGCTCGAGCCTCAAGACTTGTCCGAAAACTCTACCTAATCGAACACAGAAGTTAATTACAGAGCTAAAGAAACATAAGGAACATCTTTATTTTATTTATTTATTTATTTATTTTTTGGCTAAGTACAGAGCAAAATAACGAACCACAAAGATTAGTGATAGCGTTCGAAATAGCCAGAGCAGTACAAACCCCATTGCCACATCCCGACATGTCCTCACCGAGCAGAAGCTTCCAAAATCTTTCCTTAATCGTCTCACAATCTGCCGTGCACCCGAAAAAAAAAATAAAATGTAGTTAATTACTTATTTTTTGAAAATAGCAAAAAATTAATCAGGGGAAAATGAAAAACTAGCAATGTCTATTAACTGCTTACCTGAAAGGGATGCTTTTGCTTTTTGTGATTTTCTATGGTCCAAAGGGGTTTTATCAGCTACACTCTTCCTCATTGGCCTGCATGTGGGTGAGGGTGTAGCTGATAACTCCTCCAAAACTCGATTTTCGTCACATGAAACGGTGTCCGAAGCCGAAAGATTGGATTTTGATCTGTTTTTCTCAACGGGTGAGGCACAGTAGAGAAAGTGACTAACTTTCATTTCATCAAAGTTTAAGTCTTTCTGGATTTTTTTTTTTTTTTTCGAAACGGTAGATAATGGTAATAAGCTCGGGAAAAAAACCTTACAAACCAACAAACGAAGAAATCAAAGAAAACAAGAGATGAATGAAGGGATCTGCTCAAAGAAGTATTTGTAGTTGAAGAAAAAAAGGTAGTTATTTCTTTTAATTTTGAATTTTGAAGGGTGAAAATTATGGTTTAACTTTGTGTTTCTAACATCAAATGGAAAAGTTTGGATAACAAACAAAAGGTTGCATGCAGCAATGAAGGCCAAGGCATTTTTTTTTAAAATGACTTGTTGTGTGGCTTAAAAAAAAATTACATTTTTTTTACATCTTTGTTTTATCAGCATTAGAATTGTTAAACAAAATGAATCGAACTATTTGGCTTGGCTCATTTAAGACTCGTTTAGATTACGAGCCGAGCTCTCGGGTCAGTTTGTTAAGGCTCGTTACGCCAAATAAATTTGAGTTTTTTTTTTTAGGTATTATTAGAACTTTTGGTTATATTTAACTTATAAGGTTGTTACGAGCTCGTGAGCTTATTTATCGGCTCGTTTACAGTTGTAGCTATAATATTAGGCATTAAACTCTAGCTAGCACCCTAATCTCAATTGGTTACTATAAAATGATATGAAAAATGATTTGAATCTGCGATTTGAGTTTGTATGATATGAAAATCAAACTTAGCTCTCGTATGATAATTGTAATGTACATCGAAATTATTATGTTATGTTATCAAATGTTGAATTTTTACCGTTAAATTGCAGTTATTTTTATGTACATGAAACTTTGTGACGATCGAGATGAAAATAAATGTCAGAGAGAATGATCCCATCAAAACGAGCTCTAATACAAATCACAACATTTTATCTTATTAATCAAGATTTAGATGCCAATCCAAGACCATTAAAGTAAATAAGTGTTATATACTTATATCAATGGTAAAAACATGCCAATTTTAATGCCTTGCTACTTGAAAAAATCTACTATTTTCTCTCGTGTGTGTAGGTTTGAATTTGTTGTTTGAACAATTGTGGAGGGAAGTAAAGTTTGTGTAAAGTGAGGCGGCTATTTTTGAATTTGAAGAGTGTTGGGGGACCTTTCGGAAATAAAGCTATTTACAATATTGCTTTATTACTTTATTTGTAATTTAAAAAGGAAAAGGGCAAAAATCAGACGGTGGTTTGAAATTATTCAAATATTCTTTTTTTNTTTAGATTATACTTTAGGTTTGACGAGGTATTTTTGTAATTTTTGTTTTTTAGGAGTACAACATAAATTGTCGAATTTCGATATTTGTCATTAGCAATTAGCATATATAAACAAACTTATTTTTTAGGACAAATTATTCTCAATTTTATATTGTTTGGTTGCTATAGTAAATCTATTTATATTACATTGTGAAATAATAAGAAAAGAACACACTATATTGTTTAGACATTTTTGCACGTACTATTTATTTATTTATTTTGCAAAAATATGATAATTCAAAATAAATTATGATTAGAGCATTCATAAACGAGATATAAATCAAAATAGTGCAAATTATAAACCAATTATAAAAATAAATCAAAAAATATTTATTTGTAAATGATAAAAAGTAGCTTATTATAATTAAATAAATTATAAATATTGAAAAAAAAATTGGTGTAAGGAAACTAAGGAAATCTATTTCCTAAACAATCACCAGTTTCGATATTATGATTGGGCCATTATGCATTTAATATTTTTAGGGTGCAGTCCAGTTAAGTGAATAATGTTGATTTTAAAGAAAACGTTTGTGTACCAGCCCACAAACTGATTAGCCCAAAAACAACTATTATCTTGGTTATTAAGGAACAACTAGTATTCGATCATGTACATTTGCACAATGCGAATAGAATATTATAAGTTATATTTATGCTAGTATTAAAATTATAAGTTACACAATGATATTATATTTAAACATAGAGTATTATAAGTTATATTTATGCATATAATAATAAAAATATAAATAAGATAATGATATTATGTTTTAAAATTTGATCATTGGTTAAAATAAATAGTACATAACTTTTGATTGCATATGAACCACTATGTTAATTACATAAAATAAAATAAATAATGTAATTTTGAGAGATCGCCAATTTATTAGCTTAAAAATATTAAATTTATTATAACATTTGATTATGCGATTTTAAGGAATTTTAATATAACAATCAAATAAATTAACTTATTTAAAAATACAATCGCTAAATAAGATAAAAAAATATAATATTAATTTTAGAATAAATAACTTTAGCAAAAAGTTTACAATGTATTTTTATGTTTATGTAATTTTCATATATCATTTAGTGTAAACGATAGTTATTAATTTTAATAACAACTATTACATGATATAATGAAATAATATAATTATTACTCCATTAATATAAAATGTAACGGGTTTGTTTTAATTAACCAAAAAAAAGTGCAATGAAATATTTTAGCATTAATTAGATATGATGGATTAATAATAATAATAATAATAGAAGATTGTAACCTAAAAATATGGTAAACAATAATTAATATTGTTAAATTTATTGTTGGTAATTAAATATAGAGAGAGATATAAACGATAAAAGTTTGTAACGGTTTTTGGATGGAAATCGAAATGATTTTTATGAAATGTTTTATTAAATGCTATTAGCCAGCAATTATATATATATATAGATTAGAAAGATGCATTATTTTTTATGATTGCCTTTACTTTAATTAAACAATTTTAATATTAAAAAAGTATAATAACGTGTAAGTCAACTTTCTCAAAGTTTGAGTTTGACACGTTTTAATAACCTATATAGAAGTTAACATTTAGTGTGGTGGTTGAGGTCACCGCATACGTCATGTTTGTGTCCAAAATCTTGCTATCTTGCTATTTGTCTGTTTACATGGTCACATATTCATGTTAGTTTCTTTTTTGAGTAAAATAAATAATCAAATGTGTGGCCGAAGAGAAAATAAATGATGTTGTTTGGTTGTCTAACTATTGTTGAGTTGTATAATATGAAAATATTTATACTTGTAATATGAAATGTTACAATTTTATTTTATTATATTTTAAAGTATGACATTTAAATATAAAAATGTATATATATATATATATATATATTGATAAAAATATGGTCAACTAATCAAGACGGTCTAACATAAGAACTACTACAGAGTAAATTATGTAGTTTATGGAGGACATAGTGATAAAATTTTCTTTACATGTTACCCTATTTCAGTATAAGGTTGTTGTTAGGCATACTTAATGGTTAGTCAATCTTATTTTTCCACAAGTATTCTAAATTTCAAATTTAAAATGTAATTCTTTAAAAAACAACATAAACAAAAATATAATATTTTATAGTATGATTGTTAATTTTTACATGTAGCATCAGGAGTCGACCCGTTTAACTGTTGGACGGCCTAAATAATTTGAAATTGTACCTTTCTTTATTTTATGATTGACTTGGTCTTTATATTAGACATGCATAAATATATGGGAAGAAAAGAAAATGAGACCGAGATCCAGTCCATGCAATAAATGAATTAGTAGTTGGTGAACAAATTTTCTATTCCACTTTTGACTTATTGAACAAGTTACCTTCAGCCTACATAAAGAGCTCCCAAACACATAACCGAACACAAATTGCTCTCTCATTCTTCTAAAATTTTTCAGACTCAAAGAGGCGCACATAAACTATGGAGGAAGTTAAGCTTTTGGGATTTTGGGCCAGCCCATTCAGCAGGAGAGTGGAAATGGGCCTCCAAATGAAAGGGGTGGACTATGAATTCATAGAAGAAGATTTACAAAACAAGTCCCCTTTACTTCTCCAGTCCAACCCAATTCACAAAAAAATTCCAGTTTTGCTTCACAATGGCAAGCCAATTACTGAGTCCTTGATCATTCTTGAGTACATCGACGAAGCTTTCCCAGGCCCATCTCTTTGGCCCAAGGATCCATATGAAAGAGCCCAAGCACGGTTCTGGGCCAAGTTCATCGATGAAAAGGTACTTATCATTTCCTACTTGTATCTGCTTTATGTGATTAATTAACCAATTAAGTTAACATTGTTTACTTTATTTACTAGTACAGTACCCATTCGATGCACTTGAGCATTTATTATCTCCTTACTTTTTAAAATGTATATTTGTATTTAAATTGTCTCGTAACATTAAAAATATCATGAAAATAAAATTTATATGTTATTGAACACTTTCTTATGTACAACATTTTTTGTTATAGCACGTAGAGTACTACGTGGGTGTTCGAATTTTATTTAAAATTACGTAATATTAGTTATTAGTTAACAAATTACTTTTTTTAAAAAAAATAAGGAATTTTATTTATTGGACAAAATTCTAGTTCAAAAACATAAAAAATTTTAGAGATTTTTTCGCCATTTTTTTTAAATCTAATTCAAAATTTTGATTAAGAAAAATTAAAAAATCATTAGTTTTTCCTAAAAATGAAACCAATTTCCTACTAATCCATCGATTTTTTTACTACACAAATCGATTTGAATATTTGGTTAAATAAAGTAAAAAGAATCATCAATTTTTCCTAAAAATGCAACCGAATTTTTCTAACATTGCAATGATATTTTTACCAAACAATTTGAATTAAAATTAATTCTAATTAAAAAACAGAATAATTTGTTAAGGTTTATGCTACTGTTTATTTCCTAAAAAAATTGATCTGCACTTAAAAGATTGCCATATTCAGTAAGTAAACTTCGTTGACTGTGATTTTTTTAAAAGTTTCCTCATTTGATTTATTGATCTCTCTTTTTCAATATATATAGATTTACTAGAGAAGCTATAACATTAGACGGATGTTAATTAAAAAGTTTATATTTAAAAATTATTAAAAAAATATCATTTTAACTTTATATAAAGCCCTCTTGATGTTTAATCTGACCCAACTTTATTATAGGAATTTATTTAATTATTTGTGTGTTTGAATTAAAGTGCAATCCAACCTTGTGGAAAGCATGCTGGAGCACGGGCGAGGAGCAAGAGAAGACCAAACAAGAATCAGAACAACTGCTGAAAATTCTTGAAAATGAGATTAAGGACAAGAATTTCTTCGGAGGGGACAACGTTGGGGCCGTTGATATAACCGCTAATTTCTTGGCCCACTGGATTGGGATCGCTTCCGAGTTAGTGGGCCTCGAAATCATCACCGAGGAAAAGTACCCAAATTTATGCAATTGGGCCAGCCGGTTTCGTGAGCTTGGTTTTGTTAAGCAAAATCTGCCACCAAAGGAGAAACTGGCTTTGGGCCTTAAGTTTGTACTGCAAGCTGCGGCCAGGTCCAATGGCACATCAAGCGTCTGAATTTGGTATATGGGTCGGGTCATGCCCGACTCAACTTTAGAGAAAATTAAAATTTGATGCATGAAGGAGCTTTTGGTGTTGTGACCTTTGTCCTTTTTTTTTTTTTTTAATAATTAAATCTTCTATGTAATTCAGCTCGTTGTCATGCCATGTAATAAACGCAAGAAGAAAAAGTTTTTTTAATGTTGGATCATCGTGATTATGTGAGTGTACAATCCAATAGTAAACAATTGACCAATCTATACTACTATAGAAGGTTTGTTGGTAAAATTATTTTTAGTAATCTTGACCAAAACAATTAATGAGTTGACATACTATTAGTGAAAATTTCGAAAGAAAACGCATGTGAATCTTTAGTAACAAAATCTAAATCTCATTTTTTTTTTACACAAATTTGGAGATGCTTATGTAAAAATTCGAATTCCATTTTTTGTATCATTTTTTTAATTTTTTTAACTTTTTTCCAAAATTTGAATCTTTTTTTTAAATAAATTTAGAGATTCTTATGCCAAAAATGTGTTAACTATTTATGAAACAAATTCATATACAAATTAATTTAAAGACCTTGCAAAGTGGATACAAATAGTAGTATAATTTTTAACAAATTCTTCCAATCTTTTTGAATAATTTTTTCTTTCAAAAAATGTGTGCAAGTTGGATAAAACCACGTGCATTTTTTATTTTAGAACAAATTTGAAATTTGGACGGGATATACATTCAAAATCGCATCCACATTTTGTGTTAACGAAATATGTTCATCTTTGATATTTAAAGTCAAACTTTATCCAATTATTTAAGAATAAAATTCAAGTCAATTTCAAAACCTTGTGCAACTTTAACAAGAAAAAGTCGTATGCAACTTTTTAGAATTTGAATGCATCAATTTTTTTGGATTCTTAAGTTGTTCTTGACCATGTTTTACCACTATTTTGGTAAATTCATATCAATTTTTTTGTCGAGTTCACATCAATTTTTTAGGAAAGAAAACCGTTGCATAAATCTTATTTTTTATTATAATTAATTTAAATTCAATTTGTTGGTAAAAAAATCGGTGCATTGTTAGGAAAATTCTGTTGCATTTTTAGGAAAAATTGATGATTTTTTTTACTTTGTTTTAACCAAATATTCAGATCAATTTTTTTGTTAAAAATTCAGTATATTGACAGGAAAATCGGTTTTATTTTTAGGAAAAAATAATTATTCTTTTAATTTTTTCTTAATCAAAATTTTGAATTAGTTTTTTTTTTTAAAAAAAAACGTGAAAATCCCTTAAAATATATAGTTTTTTTCTACTAATTTTTTATAATAAATAAGATCCCTTAATTTCTTTTAAAAATTGTAATTTGTTAACTAATAACTAATAATACGCAATTTTAGATAAAATTCGAACACATGTGTAGTATTTTACGTGCTAAAGAATCAAACTAATTCTTTAAAAAAAAAAATCAAACCGAGAATGTTGTATATAAGAAAGTATTCAATAGTATATAAATTTCATTTTCATGATATTTTTAATGTTATGAGACAATTTAAATTAATTTAAAAACATTTTCTTCAAAACTAAAGTTGCTAAACTAAACGAGCCGTTCGTGAGATCGCATGTTAATGCTCGAGCTTGGCTCGACTCATTTAATAAACCAATTGAGCTCAAGCTTGTTTAAAGCTCGTTTGGTTAACCAGCCGAGCTGATATGGCTCGAAAAGATGATTTTTATTTAATTTTCTTTAATCCCGCTCATTAAAACTCGATTCTATCTCGATAAGGCTAGATTTAATATTGATAAATGAGTCGAACTCGATTATGCTCGAACATCACCCCTATTCGAAAAACAGTAATGGGCTTACTAGTGGTACTCAATTTACCAACATTCGACAATAATTTTCCTCTAATGTGAAATATTAAATGGACCCGACCAAAGTAGAATTGCAATACAAGTCCTGGATGGCCCCAAATATGTTTAGTAGGCCCATTAAGTCAACCATATAGTTTTTCTTAGACTTCGATATTTTGCTAATGTTACCTGCATCTATAGTTCTATACCTAGTACCATCAAGAAATACAAATCAAGGAAGAAATTTAAAAGACCTGAACTTTCAAAAACTGGTTAGTACAAAGTTCGATTTCAACTAATCTCTATGCTATCCGAGAATTAGATGAAACACTTTCGATTCATGGTATGAAAAGAGTGACAAATGCATGAGAACAATTGGAATAATATATATGTACTTAGTTATTTATGTATATGATCTTCAAGACCTCATCCAATGAGTCCACAAAGTGTCGAAACTTGAGGTTTGTATACATACACTTTATCATAATGCATATAAATCGTAATGCCATTAGTTTACACGTCAAATCACTTTAAAAATCAACGATTACTTTAAGTCACGAAATATACGCTCAAATGTCATTTTGTATGCACAATGAGCAAAATTATCGTATATAACGCTATTTTTAGGAATGTATAAAGTAATTTTAACTATAGATGTTGATATTTTTCCATCATTTTATCATCATCCACACTTGCTTACAATTCAATTTTAGAACAATTCCCATTACATCAGAACATGTAAAGGAGCATATATACCACTAACACCCTATTATAAAATCAGAAATTTGAAAATTAACAAATGTTTCAAATTACGAGGCATTAATAGGTAGTTGATTCAACTAATTAATCAAGTCAAAACATGTATATACTAATCATCAAGATATTATTTTTTTCAAAGTCGTTTAAATCGGGGGTCCGAGATCACATGTATCTAATAGGGGAAAAATAATATATTCTTCTTGTCATATTACTAGAAGTTTTGTACATAGTTTGTGAGGCGTGAATATTCTTTATGCATCCCGTATGAGTTATGATTGATTTGGTAAAA